GGGGGGGGGGGGGGGGGGGGGAGGAGGAAGGAGAATGGAGACTTGAATCTTTGATCTCAAGAAGGTAAAGTCTTTACAAGACAAAAAATACCATTGAACCAAAAATTGATTGGTAGATTCCGAAATTTCAATGCACACCATTTTGGTTATATTATATATTTAGGTTCATCAATTTAATATTTTATTGTATCAAATGAATGTCCGTTATTCAATTTAAACTAAATTAACATTCAATCTCATCAAATCAATACAAAATTGATATTTAATTTATCAAATTAGCATTTGCTTATATTAATTTAATATTTTATTTCATCAAATTAATATTATTTCTTTAATTTAATTTTAAATTAATTTTATCAAATCAACACCAAATTGATATTTAATTTTATTAAATTAAAATTTAACATATTAAATAGAATATTAAATTTTATTAATTTAACATTTGACCTTATTAAATTAATGTCATTTATTTAATTTAACACCAAATGAACATTCAATTACATTAAAGTAACATTCAAATTTATTCAATTAACATTAACTTTTATTAAATCAACACTAAACTAATACTTAGTTTTATTAAATTAATACCAAATTAATATTTAAAGTTATCAAATTAAGACCAAATTTATTCCATTAACATTAAATTTTATCAAATAATATTTAATTTTTATATATAAAGTATGATATGTGAAGAGTGGTCGGGGTGATATTACAATCTATAAACTCAATGTAAGAATTCCAACAATTTCTAACAAGAGGAGTTAGAAATTGTTGGAATTCTTACATTGAGTTTATAGATTGTAATTTTTATTATAAAAAAATTTATAAAAACTCGATTATGTATGAATGATAATATGATGACTAATATTATAACAAAGTTATCATGCAAAGCTTTAAAATGATAAAAATTTATTAAGATAATATAATGATAGAAATCACGCTTATTGGCTAGTTAAGACATATATATTCAGAAAAGGATTGTGGGCATTTTAATTTATTTACATAACAAAAAGTAATTTTGACATTTTTACAAAATATTTAGTCAAATTATTAATTAGCAGGGACAAAATTTACCGTTAAGGGAGTGTCAATAATTTAAAAATAAAAACTAAAAAAATGTGCAGTAAAACTTCATAATAAAAAAGGTGTGTCATTAAATTTAAACCTAAAAATAAGCCGTGTCATTAAGGTGATACAGATGAAAATTTTCCTGTTTTATAACATGAGCAAGGTCAAACAAGTCAAAATTAACTAAACTCCAAACCCAGCCAAACTCAAACCACTCAACGATTCAGTTGGTTTAATATTCCTACCATTATGAAATGTTTGTCTGGATCCATAAATCTTTGACTTGACAGCAACAACGTTGACTAGTCCAACGTGACGGCCGGAATATATATATATATATTGATTATCTTAAGCATTGAATTTCGAATTCCTCCTTTGCTTAACAGGCTATATATGCTAGGTTAACTGGCTCTGGGTTCTCCACATTCGTCCTTTGCTTTGCTTTTGCAATGAATCTTTTCCTCTCATCTCTCCTATTCCTTGGAGTTCTGAGTTCATTTATTTTCCTCATCTTCATCTTCCATAACCGCAGACCAAACAGCCTAAATCTTCCACCTGGTAAAAAGGGGTGGCCGGTCCTGGGAGAAGCAGTGGAGTTTGTGTCGTTGGGCCGAAAGGGTAACCCGGAAAAGTTCATAGATGATAGGAAGAAGAAATACTCATCTGAATTATTCAAAACCTCCTTGGCAGGAGAAAACATGGTGGTGTTCTGTGGGGCTTCAGCGAACAAGTTCTTGTTCTCAAACGAAAACAAGCTCGTTGTCTCGTGGTGGCCACCCACTATCGAGAAAATTACAATCTCCAGCAAAAATACCACTAATACTATAGGAGAGACAAAGCAAATGAGGCGTTATCTCCCAGAGTTTCTCAAACCAGAAGCCCTCCAAAGGTACGTAGAGGTCATGGATTGCATGGCGAGGTATCAGTTGGAGGCAGAATGGATTCCAAATACACAGGTGAAGGTTTTACCTCTATCAAAGAAGTACACCTTTGCAGTGGCATGTAAGCTATTTATGAATGTCGAAGATTCCGAGCAAGTGACCAGGTTTGCTCATCCTTTTACTTCTGTCATGGCCGGGCTTTTGTCCGTGCCCATAAATTTCCCGGGCACTGCATTTAATCGGGGCATCAGAGCAGCCAATCGCATCCGAGAAGAACTTCTGCCTATAATCAGGCAGAGGAGATCTCTTCTGTCGGAGAAGAAAGAGATGGCGACTGGAGACCTGTTGTCTCACATGCTTCTTGCGACTGATGAGGATGGCAAGTTTATGAGTGAGATGGAGATTGCAGATAAGATATTAGGACTACTTCTTGCTAGCCACGATACAACAAGTACTGTGATCACGTTCGTCATATACTATCTTGCAGATCATCCGCGAGTTTATGCTCAAGTCTTGGAAGGTAATGCTCACTAACATATTACTCTCTGATTCTATTGGTCTTTTTCTTCTTACTTCTGTTTACTTTTTGCGTCTGCCATCGTGTTCGGGTAGGGTCCTTACTATCCCCTTCTCGGACTATATATGGAGCTGAAAATGAATCGAACTGACTCAAGTACCAGACTATTGCTCCACTTGTTTGTTCATGATTAATGTTTGTGCTCCTCATAAACTTCTATAATATTTTTTGATTCGACTCGTTAAGTTTTTTCAGCTTGGGTTCAACATAATTTGTTTGATTAAATGAATAATAACTTGTAATTAAAGATACTTTGTAGTACAAAAAATTGTTTAATCATATAATATTTGAAATTTAAATAATAATTTATTATTTTTTATTATTTAAATATGCAATTTAGAATTAAAGTGAAGGCAGACATGTATGCATTAATAGAGTTGTTTGACGTTAGGGGAGTGTGTTAATTGAGTTGTGTTGATATTAAAGATTGTGAATAAAATTTGATTTTTTGAGAGATAAAAAAAATTTTGAATGAATTTTGTATTATAGATAAAAATTAAATCAATTATATATAAAACAAAACAAAAGTCTTTTTTATCATGAAGTAAAATAACAGTTTAGATTGTTGGATCTAATCACTTATCTTACAACATACATTTTAAACTTAATAAATCTTTCAACCACACTTAATTTAAAAACCTTTTAACTACTCTTATAGTAACCACTAAGAAATATACAACTTACATTTGAACTACAATAACAAAAAGAGTGCATTGTACAGGATTACGCTGGTATATATATACATATATTAATTAGCTCTAAATATGATATTGAATTTTCACGAACTTGCTGCTGTCATGGCGTGAATATAGGCAAAACATTATTCTTAAAAATTTACAATCTCACACCTTTCGTCTGCTGGACTAATTTATTTATTTAATTTGTTAATTTAATTCATTATAATCTTTTTATTGATTGTGGAATGTAAACGCATTAAACATTTAAAAAGATTTAATTTTGAGGCCCCAATAGTATTACTCCATCCCAAATGTGTGGTTTGGTGCATGTTGTTTTTAATGGGCACATTAAAAGTCATAACTGAAGTAATAGTAAAAAAAGTAAAAAAAACAAAATATCAAAGCATGATGCATATCTTTTAGCTGAAAATTGCTTTGCCTTGTTGAACAGAACAAATGGAAATCAGGAAATCAAAAGGGCCAGAAAAGATGTTGAACTGGGACGACATCCAAAAGATGAAGTATTCGCGAAACGTTGTTAATGAAGTACTGAGATTAGCACCACCTTCCCAAGGAGCCTTTAAAGAGGTGATAAGTGACTTCACTTTCGCAGGATTCACTATTCCAAAGGGGTGGAAGGTAAGTTATGGTTCGAAAAGTTACCATGTCGTGGACAGTACGCAAACCCAAAGACACATACACCCTTACGGATTGGCTTGAGAATTTATGATTTTTATATTTTTGCAGGTACATTGGAGTGTATATTCGACACACAAAGACCCCAAATACTTTCTAAATCCAGAGAAGTTCGATCCTTCAAGGTTTGAAGGAAGTGGACCGTTACCATTCACTTTCGTACCGTTTGGGGGAGGTCCTCGCATGTGTCCCGGGAGTGAGTTTGCTCGTCTCGAGATATTAATCTTCATCCACAATTTGGTTACCAAATTCAAATGGAAGAAAATTATTCCAGATGAAAAAGTCATATTTGATCCAGCGCCCATTCCAGTCAACGACCTACCAATACGGCTTGCATCACTTTGAAATTAATCCAGCTTCATGGTAGTTATGTTAGCAGTGGAGCTTTAAGCTTAGCCTTTTCTAAGACAATTTCTACGGCTAGTACAAGACAAATGGATTGTGTGCTTTCATTTTTTTGTATTTGTTATCATATAGAACTAAGCGCAAAATTGAAGTTGAGTTCAATATGTAAGAGACAAAGACCCATTTGCGAAAATAAAGGATTATGTGACAGAAAAAACTTAAATATTAGTATTTATGTGTATAGGCTAATTAGTTTTGATTGCCAACTTATTTAGTAAAAACACTTTTTTGGTAAATCTTTTGATAAGCATAGCATTACTCTTAGGTCTGAGCATTTCCTTAATTACTCTCCCTCTCCCTCTCCCTCTCCCTCTCTCTCACACAGGGGCATATAGTGTACCTGTGAGATCCCAGATTATACATTTTAAATAACTATTTTAATATTTATGGTATATGTTAAAGGATTTTGAAGGTCTAATATATATAATTTAACAATTTAACTTATTAAAGTAAAGATTTTGACATAAAGCTTACAATGGAATGTAAGTTGCTATGGCGTTTACACTTTGTGAAGGGTGGATCTAGAGTATTTCTAAGAAGTCTAGGAAAAATGAAGATTCGCGTTGGTAGGCCGATGAAGTATAAAAGTGACTTTTACAATTCAATCACAATCTTTTATATTTATGTGGAAAGTATTCGTGTTATTTGGCTTACATGAGTTTAAGTGTTAAAATGAATTTTGGGCATGGTTATTTTCTATATGACTTTCACTAGATATTTACAAAGTTTGAGTAATATAAGTTTAAGTTATGATATGGAGTCAATTGTAGAACTTAATGTTGTTGAAGTTGACTTTCGGATAAAATTTAGTTTTGAAAATGTTTAAGGTTAATAAGAAAAATTAAGTACATTTGTAAAGTGTTTAGATCGAAAGAATACTACCATTGAAATTGTGAGGCCGAAAAACCATAAAATAGACGTTAGGCTGGTATAGAGCTCAGGAAGTGTAAATAATAATTTTGGCGTGCCAGGTATTATTCAGCTTGATTTTTGAAATAACTCATAAAATTAAATATTTTTAAGTAAAAATAACATTAAAAATAAATTTGATTAGTCCAAAAATTTTGGGTTAGGTTTGGAGACGTATAAGGGGCACGAATCGCATCTTTAGACAAATTGGTCAATAAGTGAAGAGTCTCGGTCAACCAGTGGGCCTAACCTGTCGATGGTAAATACCTTCTAAATTTTAATATTTTATATTTATGATAAAAAAGAATTTCATTCATTAATACTTATTAAATAGTTCTCAACTGTATTATATCATTATATCATATCATCTTCGTGTCTTGTTCGAGTCAATAAAAAATACATATTTTCTGTCTACAATTAGACACAAATCTTTTGATTGTCTGATCAAGTTAAAGTTAGATACGAATAACACAACTGTAAACAAAAAATAGTTATTTAACAAGTATTATAGACAAAAAATTGGTATTTTTTAATTTAAAAAAAATAGTAAATAGTATTATGTGAATTGTCGTAAATGTAAAATATAAGACACAACGCAATTGTCGTGACACGAAAATATATTTTGTTAAAAATATTTTTTTAACACGAAAATGTTATGATACGATATAATTTAAAGCTATTTAATGAGCATTAGTAAATAACTTTTTTTTTTGGATTATAAATATGAAATATTTAAATTTGAGAGGTGCAATTTATAATTAACTCAAATCTTTTTAACGGCAAAATAAATGACAGTTATTTTCAGGCACACATTGATACGTATTTATATCTTTCAGGATATAAATTAATATTTTTAAATTTTGAGTCTAAATTAAAATTCGAATAATCTTTGAAGGTGCAAGTTCAAATTAGTCCCCCCCCCCCCCCCCCCCCCCCCCTTCTTTCT